CATGAAGCGGTGCTCCTTGCCGTCGTGGGCCATGAGGATGACGTGGCGGTTGGAGGTCCAGATGAGGCGGGCGAGGCGCAGGGCGTTGTGGGAGCCGGGCGAGGCCGGCTGCACCGGCGGCACCTGGTAGGTCTTGATGCAGCGCAGCTGCGGCGCCGAGTTCAGCATCCCGATGCTCCCCAGCAGGGACGTGTTCATCTGCACGACACACACACCTTCCGGGGGCTGCCAGGCACGCCTGGAGCTCATCCCAAACTTCCACGGCCCCGGGGCTGAGCGAGAGGCCGCTCGGAAGGATCACGGAAGGGTTTGGCTCGGAAGGGACCTAAAGGATCATCTCGTACCGGTCCTTTCCACCAGACCGGGTTGCTCCAAGCCTGGCCTGGAACCCTTCCAGCCCCATCCCACCCGGCCTTGAACGCTCCCAGGGAGCTCCTGAGTTCTGCCTTTTGGAAAACAGGCCCGACGCTGCTGATTCCTCTTTTCCTTTAAAAATCCAGGGAAAGAGGAATCGGCAGCATTGGGCCTTTCTCCCCACCCCAGGAGACCTTGGCAAACCCCGGGATATTTCAGGGGTGCTATTGCTGCTGAATCCTGAGCGGTTCCAGGCCGGAGCCGTCCCTTTTTCCCGGCTCTCCCCGTGTCACAGGGTGTAAATCACGGCCCCCGGAGCCGACATTGCCACCATTTAAATCATCTTGAGTAATAACCCTTTTAAGATGACTAATGCCCCCGATTTCCCTGCATTAATAATCGTGCCAAGCACGGGACACGGAAGGGAAGAATCTGAAAACTGAACGTGGAGGGTGTTTAACTCTTCGTGTTTGGCTCGGAAGGATTTTAAGGATCATCTCTTGCACCAGCCCAGGTTGCTCCGAGCCCTGTCCAGCCTTGACCTTCTCTCCCTCAGGATTTTTTCCCGAAGGAAGGAGGGCCGGGATGTGTCCTCACCTGCCAGAAGGAGAGGTGGCTGTCGGAGTTGGAGTAGGTGGCGAGGTACCGGCCGTCGGGGGCGAACGCCACGGCGGTGATGGGGCCTTTGTGGCCATGGATGGTCTGGGAAAGGGGAGAGAGAGAGAGAGAGAGAGAACAGGGATGTGGGAGAGATGCCTGCTCAGGGTTAAACACCATCACAGCTCCTCGGGAGCGTCCTGAAGGCTGCTCGGCCCTAAAATCATCCCCTGCCAAATTTGGTTTTTGGCAGGATTATGAACACGGAGGAGTCTTTAACAGGGATTTTTAAAAATGGAAGCCCTGCACTCCCCCACGAGCTCCTCTCCTGCAGAAAAGGTCCCAAAGCCCCAAATATGTATTAAATCCGAGTGGCCACAGGAATTTCTCACTGAAAATCCCCTTTTCTCTTGGATCAGCAGTAGGAAAACCCCATTATCAGTGCTCCTGTGCCCATCCCAGATTTATGGAAGGATGAAGACTTGCTGATATACTCAGGACTCATTCAAATATTCATTTCTCCCTCCTGGAAAAGGTGGGTGAAGCCCAAATCTCCCTCTTTGATGGAATCAAACCCATTAAAGAGCTGCTCCCGTGTTTAGCCCCATCCCACCCTTTTAGCAGGGAATACTTGTCCATAAAACAGGTTTGGGGGAGACAAAGGTAGAAAAATCAATCCCCACAAGTAAAAGTTTAAAAGAGAAATCCCATTTTTTTTAAAGAAATTTCTGGGCAATATCTATTAACTTACCCCAGTTCCAGCAACTTTATTAATTTAAACCTCTATGTCAGTTCCAGGAATAATCCCACTTCAGGGCTGAGAAAACATCAATATTTATATCTTTAAATTCATTTTTTTTTTGCCTTGGACTAGCCCAGGGATGGGGCAAATCCATATGGATCCCTTCCAACTCAGGACACTGGGATTTATTTTATCCCTGAGGCAGATGGGATTTTGCTTCTTAATACCAGGTTTTCCTGCCTCACCTGGATTTGGGAATGCAGGATAAACACCTTTAAACCACCACATTCCAGGACAGCATCTTTCATTCCCTAATTAAACTTCATTAAAAAGCAGGTTTTGCTTTGAAATAAACCCCCAAAATAACTTGTGTTTCTCTTTAATCTTCCCCTGCAAATGGCCGAGGTTTTAGACACAAAAATTACAAGTATTTTCTGAAAGGCAGCTCTAAATATTAATGACGGATCCCCGAGATGTAAATCAATAAAAATGGAATATTTCAAAGCCTCTCCTTACAGATCCAAATACATTCCTGAAGGAAAAGAAGATAATTAAACAGAGGAACTAAGTGGGGGGTTTTGGGGCCAGACTCTGTTACCCAGCAGGAATTTATCTGACAGGACTTGAAATAATAATTCTACAGATCCCAAATTTCAGGCCAATGAGAGGAACATGAGGAAAAGCCCCCCCCCTCCCCAAAATGTGAGTTAATTCTTCTGGATCATCACAATTAAAATGAATGAATAACGAAATAATTAAAATATTATTAAGGAACTTTCAGAGATGAATATTTTCCCAGAATTCCAAAACTGACAACCACCAGGGATCCTAAAATCCAGTTAGGTGGATCACACTAATTTAGGGTTTAATTTGATATGAAATAGCAGAATATCAATATTTTCCCGGGTTGCTGCATCCCTAAATACAGCATTTTTAACTGTGTGTTGATAATTAGGAACTCGATGCAAAAACATTAATAATTTGGTTGGAATTTAATATTCTTTCAACATTTAAATGGGCAAATGACATTTAATGACTTTGAATTTCCTTGTCATTCCCAGAAACTTCACCCTGAGCGTAAACTGAGCCCGACTGGACATTTTAAGCCGTTTATTTTGGGGACAAAAATCGCCATTTGTGTTTCAACCGTGTGGGGTTTAACGGCGGCGAAACAAAAGCCGCCTTTTCCAGGCCCTGGGAGCCTTTTTTGCCGATTCCCTGCGAGCCATCAATTATCTTTATCAAATCCCAGGATCTCATCTCGGCCCCCGATCAAGATGGAGCCTTATTTTCGCGGGATGCGGCGCTATCCGGACATCAAGGCCGGAGCGGAGGGAAAAGCCGGGAAGGGAGGGATCAATAATCATCAGCAGCTCGGAGGGCTTGGGAGGTGGAAGGTGCTGATGGAAGTTCGACCTCTTTTTTTTTTTTGGGGGGGAAGCTGATAAAGTTTAACCTTTGCAATACCTTAGAGCCAGGACTCGGCTCTGTGGGAATGGCTCCAACATCCCTCTGGGATCGAGCACGGAACACCCACGGAGCCATTCCCACCACATCCCTTCGGATTCCGACACGGAGAACCACACTCGGTTCTAAAGCTGGGCCTAAGCTCAGCCTAAAAGTGGCTGCTCCCCACACCATCCACCTGGGAAGTCCTCCTCCAGAGACTTCATCTCCCGTCATCCGCCCCGGAATCCAGGGTTTTAAAGGATTAGAAATATTCCAAAAAAGGAAAATGCTACATGGATTCAACAGCAAATATCGGAGGGCTTTATATCCCAAATTATGCTGAAGCTCAGCTGGTTTTTTTAAGGAATTCTGAGCCTTGGATTTCCTAGAATATGTGAGGGGGAAAACGTGAGGGGGGAAAAACATGAGGGGAGAAAATGGGGAGGGAAAAAGGTGAGGGGGGAAAAATGTGAGGGGGGAAAACATGAGGGGGGAAAATAGGGAGGGAAAAATGTGAGGGGGAAAATGTGAGGGGGGAATCCAGCAGATTCCAAGCTCAGGGCACGGATCCCCCTTGGAATTTTGGAGGCCAAACCCACCTCCAAAGCTGCTCCTGGAGGGAAAAGCTCTGGCTGTGGCCGGGCTGGCTTCCAGAGGCACGGAGCAATCAGCGGGGTTGGTTTATTAGGAGTGTCATGGAGACGGTGTGAAAAATCCAGGGCCATGGGCTCCGGGTCAATACGGCTCCCGAGCCGCAGATAATCAACAGCCCGGCCCTGGGAGCTCTGGGAGCTGCCAACGGCTGAAGGGCAAATCAATACCGGCACGGGAAGGGCGCCGCATCCCGAAAATCCCGCGGAATTTGGGAACACAATTTACTGGTGAGAGGAAATTTTACTGGGTTCCTAAATCAGCCTTTCCTTAAAAACCAAATAAAAATTCACTGGAAGGGAAAAAAAAAATCCAAACAACCCAAAAATGGTTTTCAGGAAACCACTGATTTTTTTTTTTTTTTTTCCAGAACTTTTGGAATAAAAGGAAATTAAAATCCTGAGCTTTTCTCCCCTGACAGAAATTTTTCAGCCTCGTGTTATTCCACATCTTCTGAGCAGCCCCCAAAAATCTGCAGCTGTGAGAAATAACTTAAAAAACCTGGATTTGGAAGCAGGAATCTGCATCCAATAGATGGCATTATGGAATCCAATAGATTCCATAATTTACCTGGAATTCACTGAATATTTTTATCTCATGAATAATAATAATTAAAGCTGCAAAGGACCTGCCCTAATTATCCCGGAAGTCTTTTCAGTGCCCTCCAGCTCTGTTTTCCAGTGGAAGCTTATTATGGAAAGTGAGGAAACCAATGAATATTCCCCACCACAGAGTGAACCATCCTGGAATTTTGGGGAAATAACCCCTGGGCTTTCAGATCAGCTCCAGGTTTTCCTGACTAATCCAGTGGCATCCCATCATTCCCAGTAGGACTCTACACCCCTTAAGTCCTTCATTAAACTATTGATCCCCCCGGCGTTATCCATAATATTCCAATGGCTCAGCACTTCCCTGGATGCAGAGCTCGCTGCTTCCAGGAGCTCCCAGGTTTTATTTTCCGGGAAGGAATTCCCGGTGATTTATTTACCTGGCACTTCCCGGTGCGGATGTCGTAGAGCGCCACGGATCCGTGCCGGGCTCCCACGGCGATCCGGTGACTCCGCTCGTAATAACTGACCATGTAGAACCTGCAGGGGACAGGGGAACCACAGGGAAATCCATTTGGGATGCCACTGGATAATTAAGGAAGGGCTGGAGCAGGGATGTGATTTAGGAATCCGCCCGCTGCCGGTTTAATACCCGGCATTCCACAAAAACACCTGATTTTGATCCGTTACCATGGAATCCGATTGAACTCTCAGATTGATTTAATTTTCATACAGAATGTTGGGAATAATCCATGGGATAATCACCAGCATGCCCATGTGTGATCCACACTTTGTAAGCTGGAAGTCAAAGGGTTAAATGACAATCCAACCCTTCGGGGCATTTCCCGGGAGAATCAAATGGGGAAAAGAAGGGAAGCGGAAAGAGAAATCTGCCAACTCATCAATTTTTGATGGGCATACAGAAAAAAAAAGGCATTCCCTTAATCCAAGAATATCCTCGGGGTGAAGCCTGGCATTGTCCTCAGTGCCCGGTGTGAGCGTGTGGGAGCAGCTGGAATTCCAACCGCTGCAAAATCCAAGGAATTTCCACACCTGGAAAGCCCAGAGCATCCAATTCCTTATTGCATATTGAAATCCTTGGGGATATCCCTGTGCCTTCCCTCACAAAGGCAGGGAAAACACCGACTGCACTTCCGATTGCAACTGGAATTTTACAGGGAAATTTTCCTACACCAAAATCCGCAAGAAATCTCTGGAATTGATCCCTAAAAACATGTGCCAGACAACCAATCTCCCAGTGATTTCTCTCCCCACTCCTCAGCATTCCCAGAGTGCCATAGCAACTGCTCGCTCCTCCGGCGTGGGATGGGAGAAAACCGGGATGGAACATGGGAAAAAAACCACCAGGAATAAAAAGGAAGGGAGAAAATCCCTGGGTTTCGTGCAGGAAAAAGGGAAAAGCACTTCCATTTGGAATTTCTCCAGAGACTCCCCCCCGTTTGCTCCGACCTGATGGCAATTTTCCCCGGGCTCAACAATCCTGTCAGTGGGTGCTGGATCATTTTTATCCCGGCTATAAACAGGAAATATTACAGGTAATTGCCAAGATTTTTAAAAATACTGCAGAGCTATAAATATACAACAGGAATAGGGAGGGTTTTTGCACTAATTCCCACTTATCCCTGCTTTTATGCTTTAAGGAAAGCCTTTTAAAGCATCATCACCTCCATCAGAATCCAAGCTGGCAACAGGAGAACTGTTCTTTTCCTTGAAACTATTTAATATTTTAATAGCTGATTAAATTAGAATGTAACGGCCGATGGGTGATTATTGGAATTTATTGGTTAAAGAGGAGAACTGGGATATTTATCCAAGTTTAAAGATACTGGAAATGTGCCCGTTTGATAAATCACGTTTGACTCTTTGTTGTTTGACGGGCTCAGTGTCACCTAAAGGACCATTTCACATCCTGCTGGTGGTCCCAGCATTCCCGGAGGAAGAGCTTACCTGCAGATGGCCGGAAAACATTCCTGAAGGCCCTTTTTCTTCACTAAAGATCCTTCCAGGCAATACATGATGATGTCCATCACCTCGGAAACGACAATTCGAATCAGTTGGACGATATTTTCCGTTTCATAATTAAAGCTGTGAAGCTTTAATTCCACCAGTTCCACCCCCTGCCACCTTTCAGCAGGGCAGGTCCCTCCAAGCCCTGCCCAACCTTCTCCTGGTCGGGATTTACTCACCTCCACCAGCAGGTCCACGACGTCCGTGGGCATCTTGTCGATGAGGATCTCGATGACCCGCAGGATCTCGCCCTTGGCCCGGGCCAGGGTGGTGGTGTGGATGTTCTGCTGCGACTGCGTGTTGGCCGCCAGCGCCGTGTGCCGGTGCACCTGCCGACAGCGGGGACGCGCCGTCGCAATCGCCGCCATCGGGAAAGACCCTCCCGACCCGCGCGCCGGCTCCGCCGAGCCACGCCTGGCCCACACCAAACCCCATGGAAAAGTCTCCATCCCATTAGAATTCCTACTTAGAGGGTCACGTGTGCATTGCTTGAAGCAAGCAGGGTTTTCCACAAATCTGGAAACTTTCCCTGGGCACCCCAACACCTCCTGGGGTGGAAGGGCTGGTTGCAGGTGCCCCTGGGCACCCCAACACCTCCTGGGGTGGAAGGGAAGGCTGCAGGTGCCCCGCTCACCTCCTTGGCGATGGTGGTGATGAAGGCGGGCGGGCGGGCGGTGGCGATGAGGGACAGCGCGTGCCGCGCCGAGCGCGCCGAGTCGGCCGCTGGGCTCAGGGGCAGCCCCATTGTGATGCTAAAAAGGGGGGCCAGGGTGGACAAAAGGCAGGGACAAAGAAAGAAAGAAAGAAAGGAAAAAAAAAAAAAGGAGCATTAGAAAAATATCGAGTGCAAAAAGATTAGAAAGCAGCTTATAATGTCAGTTCAAGGTCAGCGGGAGCGCTCCGGCGGTTCCGGGATAATGGACTCCCAACAATGAGTGGTGATTAGGAGTCAGGGTGTTCCTGCATCAACCCCAAATCGAATAATTAACCATGAAGATTGAAAACAGGGACTGCATCTGTCCGAAGTGGGGGAAAGGCCTTGTTAACAAATGATCTGGATGTGCTGAATACACATCAACCCCCACGGAGGGAGAGGTCGGAGAGCCCGGAGCGTCTTCCCGAGGATTTATGGTTTGGGCTTTTCCAGTGTTTGAAACACTGAAGGCTGAGAAATCTTCTGGGCAGGGAAATTGTCTTTAATTCAAGGCTTTTTTAGTTGCTGTGGCCCCTGGAAGTGTCCAAGGCCAGGCTTGGAGCAATCTGGACTAGTGGAAGGTGTCCCTGCCTGTGGCAGGGGGTGGGACTGGATGATCCTTAAAATCCCTCTCGACCCAAACCGTTCCATGATAACCTGGCTCAAACATCACCTATTTTAAACATGAACTGAAAAAGCCAAAACCCAGCCCAAAATGATTCCTACCCTCCTATCTGTGCCGGGACAAAGCCTAAAAATGCTGGGAAAACACTCTTAGCCCTCACGACCGAGCGGTTTCCTTCGGCATGGCCTAAACTTTCGGGGACTGGGATGAACTGGAGTTACAAACACCTGGATATTCCTTGAATTCAGCAGGGAAAAAAAAGAAATCCTGGTCAATAAATGTGATTTTTTTTTTATATACATCTGGAGCTCGACATAAAAGCTCCTGGATAAAACATGGGCTTTTGTCACACACAAGGAGTAATTGGAGTTCCCACAAAATACAATGGGAATCCAATTTCTCCACATTTCTCCATAGATTTGTTCTTAGTATCTTGAAGAAATGAAAACTTCTATGAAATGGGGGGATCTCTGCCTTAGAATAAGGTCAGGGAACCCTCACCAGCTCCCAGAAACATCCATGGGATTAAAACAACCCTCATTGCAGGTGGCATTTAAAATCTGCGTGGTGGCACCAACAAATACTTCCTGGAATGGTTTGGCCTGGGAAGGATTTGAAGGATCATCTCAGGCACACCTCCCACTAGAGCAGGTGGCTCCAAGCCGGCCTTGGCCACTTCCAGGGTGTGCCAGGGCCTGCCCACCCTGGCAGGGAGGGATTTCTTCCCGATGTCTCACCTCACCCTGCCCTCCTCGGCCCCAGGACTCGAGGATGGGAATGGGAATGGGAATGGCCAAGAGCTGGTGGTACCCACTTGGCCAGCTGCTTCTCGGCGTCGGCGCAGAGCTCCAGCAGCCCCATGAGCACGGCGGACACGTCCATGTAGGGCTCCCAGACGGTGAAGCCGCGGCCGATGAGGTCGATGGCGGTGCGGCGGATGGTGGAGTGCGCCGGCAGCCGGGCGCTGGGCGGCTGCAGCAGCAGGAACGTCAGCGCCTTGCCTGGGGGGAGGAACCACATCCCAAACAATCCCCAGCAATCCCAAATCCCAGTCCAAGTGCTGGATATCGAGGGAACATTATTAATATTTCATTTCACTGAATAAAATTAATTATGTACGCGTAGGAGCGACGCTTCCCAACGCGGGTAGTTTGTTATTATCTCCTCATCATTATTTGTTACCTCCTGATAAAGGTAATTACTGATTTTATCAGGGTTTTCTTGCTTGTTTGGTTTAATAAACAAACCTCACGTTTTCCTGGTGACTCACACCAACAACACCCAAAAGTGTCAGTGTTATGCCCCAGCTCTAAAAGTGACTCCTCAACCGTTACCCCGATGAAACATTCCCGGTTTTTCCCCCGGAATCCCGCTGGATGAAGCCAATCCTGCCCAATCCTCAGCCAGGACATCTTTGTTTAAAAGCTTTGCCTTGGCTTAAGCGAAGGAATTAATATTGACAAAAACATCAGGGCGGCTAATGAGTTGTTCGTTAGGGCAATAAACATGTCACATTAGAGGCGGCGCGGCCACGAGGTAATTAGCCCCGGAAAAGCTCCCTGGAAAAGCTCGGCGGAGCGGGGCCGGGGAGCATTCTCGGAGCTTCGCCGCTTCCCGTTAATATCCCGGGAGGAAAAGTCATCAAGAACCAAAACCCAAAGCTGGGTCCAAAAATCCAGATCCCTTCAGCTTTTCCTGCTCCTGGCCCGGGGAATTTTTCATCCCAGATCTTCTCTGGGGTGTAAAAATCGGGATATTTTTAGGCCTCAATTAAAAGGCTTTTTTTCTAAAGACATGACGAGGATCAGATCACAATTTTTCCAACTGGGAAATATTCCAGGCCAGGTTGGAGCAATCTGGGCTAGTGGAAGGTATCCCTGCTGGAATGGGATGAGCCTTAAAATCCCTCCCAATCCATATCAACTCTGGGATTTTCACAGAATTCAGAATATTAAGTATGAAAAAAAATTATAAAAAAAAATATATTATATATATTATATATATATATATATATATAATTCAAGAGGGAAATAATGGGAAAAAAGGATATAATTTCTAGGATTTGATTTTGTTGCTAAAGCCACGTGGGGCATTCCTGGGGTGGCATTTTTTATTCCTGGAATAGCTGTGGGAACGAGCGGTGAGGGAAGCAGGGATTGATGCAGGTGTAGGTGGGGATTTCTAGAGGGTTCCACCCTCTCCCAAAGGCACAACCAGAATTCCATGCCACTGCAACAGGGAGGAATATCCTGTATTTTATGGATTTCCCCATCCTTGGAAGTGTTGCAGGCCAGGTTGGACAGGGCTTGGGGAAGGTGTTCCTGCTCCTGGTTATTCCAGGATAAATTGAATAAATGCAGTTTAAGTGCTCTTAATAAATAAGAATAAAGGTTGCCAGAATTCCAGCAGCACCGATTCCTCGGCAGTCTCTTCCTGCACATTCCCGATTCCCGACCTTCCCCTTTCCCAGGGGGAAAAGGGATGTCAAGGAAGGAGTTTGCAGCTGGGGGTACTCACACGTGTGCCTGGCCAAGGAATAGTTGGATCCGCCGCTGGTGAGGCCGAATCCCTCGGGAATCTGGCTGGAGCTGCGGGGCCGGGTCAGGAGTTTGGGGGGCTCGATCTCGGCGCCGAACTCGGCCCCGATGACCCCCAGCAGGACGATGGCCGTGGCCTGTTTGCGCCGCTCCTCGTAGGACGTGGAGACCTTCTTGGGCTGGGGGAGGCCCGAGAGACACCCTGAAAACACAAAGAACATTCCAAACGGTGCTTCCCAAAGAAAATGCAGGAATAAAGACCTTCAATCACACCAGGATTTTTAGGCATGGATGTGATTCCGGTTTAATTCTAATAAATCTCGAAATATCCCCTTCCAAACCTGCCTCCACAGGGACAAAAAATCCACCAGGAAACTGCTGAGTTTTGTTTGCTCAGCGTGGAATTTTGTCTTTGTCTAGTGATTGTTCTTGTTCACTTCAAATGCAATTTTCCTTTGGTTTTAAAAGAAGATGGATTTTTTTCAGGATAACTCCTCGGCATCCTTTTGGTTTAGGATCCATCATCACATCCAAGTTGCTGCTAAATTTTAGGATAACACCACATGCCATTAAACCAAATGGGTATTTTTATAGAGTGATATGTTATAGATGGGATTTTTAAACATCATAATTAGGAATTCTAAATAAAATGAAATATGGGTCATTAGTTTAATACAGCCCAGGGATTCTGAATTCCACTAAGCAGAAGTTGTTATTTTTTTTTTTCTTTTTAATAATATCCCAAAATCTTAGAAGAAATGATTGGAATGAAACCACCCAAGTCATTTATTCTGACAAAGAAAGCTCACTTTTACCTGTATTAATTAATTAGTTATCTCTATTAATTCCCAGCATCCTAAGAAATTCCCTACCCTGTATTGTAAAAAAATAAGGAAGTTTGAATCCTTCCTGGGTGCTGAGGAGTTGGGAGGCACCACCTGGCCCGGGATGAGGCTCATCAGGCTCGGGGACTAATGAAGGGGGAATTAATGAGGGTTAATGATATCCACAAGAAAATAAGGAACTGAACTGAATTTTGGGAGCTGTGCTCAGCCAAAAGGGAGAGGAAAAAAAACCAAGGGAAAGCTTAACAATGGGAAGGGAGAGGGGGAAAAAAAAAGGAAAGGAAAAAATCAATAGCGACCGCCTTCGGAAGAAGGAGAAGAAGAAGAAGAAGGATGAAAAGGGGCTGGAACAAAGCAGGGAAGGGAAGGGTTGGAATTGTCCACCGGAGGTTTATCCCGGGTTCTCGTTGACATTGGGCTGTTCCACCTGGACAGAGAGGGCCCCATTCCCTGGGATGGGAGTTCCCAGATCCAGAATGGGATCCAAGCTCGTGCAGCCCCGGTTCCGGATCCCTGGATCCACGGATCCGTGCCCTAACGCGGAGCGGCGGCGGCGGGAGCGGAGCAGCTGCGGGAGCAGGGTCGGTGGGATGCGGATCGATGGGAATGAAAGGAAAAGCCAACACATGTGCTGCTTCCAGTAGGAAATTAAACCCCTGCCATGGCTTGGTTGAGATGGAGTTAACCCTTCGGAGAACCCGGAGCAGGGATTTGGGAGCGTCCTCCCGGAATCATGGCAGGGTTTGGGTGGGAAGGGATCGCAGGCGGGGACACTTCCCACTAGCCCAGGTTGCTCCAAGGCTCGTCCAACCCAGCCCTGGATGCTTCCAGGGATGGGGAATCCACGACCTCTCCGCGCCACGGAATCTGCACCGACAGGATTTGGACAAAACCCAACTCCTGGGAATCCACAAATCCCAGAAATTAAAACCCAACCAACCCCAAACTCAAGCAAAGCTCCAGATGGGAGTAAAACCACTTAATAAAGGGGGAAAAAAAATCCTCCCTGATATTTTTATTTTTTTGGTTTTAATTCCAATTGATGGGAATGGTTTCCCCCCAGCTAAGCTGCCAGGGGTCTTTGGGAGATTTTTCCACCGGAATAATGCCTGGAAGAATGGAAGAATTTGGTATTTTGTCCCCGCGCTGCCGCTCCCTTTAATCACGGCCGGGGCTGACAGGCAGATCCATTTTCCCGACAGGACGGTTGATCACCCTATCAGTGGGACAAAATTAATAACCTCCAAGAGGCCTGGCTGGAAAACAAACAAAAAAAAAAAAAGGATGAAAACCTTCGGGATTTGAGGTGGAAAAATCCCCATTTCAGGTGGAGGGTGTGTGCGCGCTCCCAAATATCATCCTGAATATTCCCAAATATGGAAATAAACCCCCCCAGGACTGCTCAGAGCAGACAGCACAAAGACAGGACAAAATGCTGGAGATGGAGGTGAAATATTCCCAAGTTTCTCAGGTTTAGGAGGCCGTGGGATGTTGGAAGCACGGCCACGAGGTCAGGCCGCTTCCCTCCAATTAACTCCCGTTAATTGGCTTTGCCCACTTTGGAGGGAAAATTAATTTCAGCCCAGCTTAGAATAAAAGGATTAAATGAAGTTCTCCAGGTTTTAACTGGAAGAGGCATCAATGGATTGGAATTAAGGGGAATCACTGGATTGGAATTAAGGCACGGAGCGGTTTTATGGGAGGGGCTTTCTATTTTCCAAGCAGGTGCAAACTCGGAGTATTCCCAGGCTGGAGTAGCTACTCCAGCTCGGAGGAGATCCAGAAATCCCTATGGAACATCAAATCCAAGCCCTGGAGATCCTGATCCAACAAAACCGCGGCCGTGGCCACCGGCACGGAGAGTCCCGGAGAGCGGGACCGACCCCACCCAGCTCAGGGCTGTGGTTCCACCCCCTAATTCCCACTGGGATTTAGTCCCAGCATTCCACAGTATTATGGGAATACAGGGATAGCTGGGATTTAGTCCCAGCATTCCATAGTATTATGGGAATACAGGAATATTGGAAATGCAGAGTTGGAATGGATAAAGGGGATAAAGTGATTTGCTGAGCACAGAGGACTCGCTCCAAAGAAATCAGGAGCCAGAAATCCCAGGAACTGTGAGGAGGAAAAGGCAGGAAAAGAGGGAAAACGTTGGATCCAACCTGTGGTTCCTCATTCCCAAACCTCCTGCTGGCAAAGGACTGGGAATGCTTGGAAGTGCAGCCATTCCTGCAGCCACAGCTCCCTCCGCTGGCCCAGCACGGGAGGAGCTTCGGGAGCTGAAATTCCTGCCTGGAAGGGCCAAAAGCAGCGGGAATTTTGGGAATTTCTGCCCTCCTGGAGACACCCAGAAAGCTGGCAATGCAGGGAGTTAAGAAGCCTGTGCCTGGGAATTCTAAAATCTAGTAATTCTCATTTTTTTCCCATTTTTCTTTGTGCTGTTCCCATAATCCCTCACCTTGGGCTGCTTCCCGGAGGGAAAAATCCAGCCTGGATTTCAAATCATAAATTATATAAATATATTTATTATATTCCCAGTTCTATTCCCTGAAATAGGAAATTATATTAATATATTATATTCCAAGTTATATTCCCTAACATTATTGAAATTATTAAAATACCACCTGCTGAAATATCTGTAAAAATTAATATTATTGGAATTATTAACATACCATCTGCTGAAATATCTGACTTGTCCAAGTAAAAAAAAAGGGAATAATGCACAGAAAAATAGAATAAATCACTTCAGGAATGAATTTAAAATGACTTCAGTTAGGTGGGACTACAATAAGAAGATCTGTCAATTAATAGAATAATAATAAAAAAAATAAAATAATAACAATAAAAGCAATTCAAAATACACCCAACTTACCAAATTATAATAATTAATATAATGATACAATTAATATAATAATAAAAATTATTATAATATAATTAATATATTAAGTAATTTTATTAATTTATTTTTATTAATATAGCAATATGATAATATATATTTATTATAATAAATATATAACTAATAGAATAATAAAATAATAAAAGCAATTAATATAATAACAAATATAATAATAAATATTTATTAGATTAAGTACATATAATTAATATAAAATTAAAAATAATAAAAGCAATTAATATGATAATATAATAATACATATTTATTATAATAAATATATATATATCATTAATATATATATCATTAATATAACAATAAAGATAAAATGATAATAAAAGCAATTAAAAGGAGCATTTGAAGACAGACTCCCTAAGAGTCACCAGCAGGATATGATGTAAAAAATCAGAATAAAGTCATTATTCCTCAAGAACTATGAGCTGAACATGGGTTGTGGGACGATTTAGGGGCTCCAAAGCCATTAAAATAATAATAATAATAATAATAATAATAATAATAATAATAATTTAAAATAATAATAAAATTAAAATAATAATAAAATTAAAATAATAATAAAATTAAAATAATAATAAAATTAAAATAATAATAAAATTAAAATAATAATAAAATTAAAATAATAATAAAATTAAAATAATAATAATTAAAGGCTCACCCGCTGCAATATCATCATCCCCCAGGTCCTGCTCCTCCTCCTGCACTTTGCCCTCTGTGCCCACGGATTCTGGGCTGGCAGTGCCAGTCTGAGCAGCTTCTGTGGGCACTCCAGCTGCAGGGAAAGACCAAAAAAATCAAGACATTCCCAGTTATATTCCCTGAAATGGGAAATGACAGAAATATATTATATTCCCAGTTATATTCCCTAATATTAGTGGAATTATTAAAATACCACCTGCTGAAATATCTGACTTCTCTGAGTTCAAAAAAAATGGGAATAACACCCCTAAATTTATAATAAATCACATGGGATAACATTTATAGAACTTTTTACCAAAGTGATTTTTATTTAATGTCAAAAATGCTAATATTAAAAAGAGGGTTAATTCTCTAAGAATGTGGATTGCAGGGAGTCTGTTCCTTTAGAGAACTGATTTCATTTATATCACTTTTCACCGAAATGATTTTTATTTCATGTCAAAAAATACTAATATTCAAAATAGAGTTAATTCCCTAGAAATGTGGCTTGCAGTGAGTCTGTTCCTTTAGAGAACTGATTTCCCAAATCAATTTGGATTTAACCAAGATTTTTTTTTTCCAGTGGGCGAAAAAAAGCTCATTTCAGGAAAAATAAGCCCTTTGGGGTTAAAAGAGAGGAAAATACCCATTTTTCCTGGTTTTTTTCCCCCCTGAAAATTCCAAACCTGGAGGCCTGTTGAAGGAGCCAGAGTTGCTCCAATCACCCGGAATGACCTGATCATGAATAATTCTGGATTCCCAGTGCCTTTTCCAGCAGGAAAAAAAGCTGATTTCCGGAAAAATAAGCACTTTGGGGTTAAAAGAGAGGAAAACATCCATTTTTACCGGTTTTTTACCCCTGAAAACTCCAAACCCGGAGCCCGTCGAGGGACGGCTTTGGCGAGAGTCGCTCCGCCCCCCCGGAATGGGCTGATATATTTGAATATCCTGAATAACTGCGCATTCCCAGGGGCTTTCCCCCCTGTTCTCCCTGTCTTTTGGCCGGTTTTCCCGGCCTTCCTTACGGGAGATGACGCTGTCCATGTACTGGGGCAGGTAGGGGGCCCAGGCGTCGATGGTCTCCTTGCGTCCCGCCTGCTCGATGCGCCGCAGCTCGGCCAGGAGAAGCGCCTGCGCCGCCTCCCGCACCTGCAGGGACGGCAAAAACTCCCCTTGTCCCATCAGAAATCCAAGCTGGAGGATGTGGGGCGGGAAAGAATGGCTTTATGAAAGGGAAGGAGAAGTGGGAGCCGGCAAACGCGGCGCGGGACCGACCTCCAAGCATCGGTCCTGCCAGCGGCGCGCCAGCATCTCCAGGAGAGGGGGGCGGAACTTCTCCAGGCCCAGCAGGTCCGGGAGCATCACACAGTGCATGGCTGCCAGCTGGCTCCAGCCTGGAAAACAGCGGGAAGAGGGATGGGAGCGACCGGAGCGAGCCGAGCGGCACGCGAATCGACTTATCCCTGGAGCACCAACACAAATACATTATAATTAAATTATGATTATAAAGAAATGACAGCCACCTCAGGAATTATTATCCCTTTAAGGATTACATGGAATTTTCTGTCCTGACTTTCCTTGGTTTTCCACCTCAATCTGATTTGAACCCGGGTGAATTCCTACTCTGGGTTCTGCAGAAACACCCGGAGCTCCAACTGCACAAATGCTTGGGAAATATTCCACAGGCAACAATTATTTAGTAAGAGATTAGGAGATATTTAATATTATAGCCACTGACCTGAAAAATACCTCAGGTGAACATATAAATCTACAAGTTTTAATTTCTCAGCAATTTTTAATTTCTTGGGCACAAAAATGTGAATTTTTTCACCACGGTGCTAAAGAAATTCTATCAATTTTCCTTTGAAAAAAAGGATTCAAAGGAGGAATTTCCAGTTTAAGAGATGTATGGAAGCAGGAATTTATACACCAGTGATAAAAATTCAGATTTAAAGCAACTTGCCCACAGGGTGTTTGTGCAGGAAGATGTTTCTCACAATGGCCATAAATATTTATTAGATCAAATTATCTCCAGCACCGACCCCAAGTAGTTTAAATACATCCCAAGTCTTCCTAAAAAACACCAAAAATCAGATTTAAATGAGGGGAAACTTGCTTTTCTTTGGTTCGTTTGCTAAGAGAAAGAGCAAACCCACCCCCCTGGCAAAGGAAAACTCCTTTATAAATCAAATTAAAGTGTCCCAGCAGTGATAAAGGATTTTAGCTGAAAGGATAAATAGAAAAAGTGAGGAAGGAATACCTTCATTGACTAAGAAACAGGAATGTAAAGGAGGAGCAGTGTCAGAGTGCCCAGATTCCAGGTTAGAAGGAGCAGCAGGAGCAACTTGCAGAGCAAAAGGAGGAATAAAAAAGAGATAAAAAAAAGAGAGGCAAGTGAGGAAAAGCAGCAGAAAAATGGGTTAGTAATCGCTGGAGAAGGGAAAGAACCTTCAACTTAAATATTCCAACTGAAGGAGAAGGTGCAACTTAAAATATTCAACTGAAAAATTTCATATTCAACTTGAAAAATAATATTAAACTGAAAAAACAATGGTCAACTGAACGAGAATTCCAGGTTTTCCAAGAAGTGAGAGGTAGACATGCAGCTGAAGAGACAGTAAGAGAGACTTGGATATTTGGGAAAGATAAAAAATCCCTGGGAATAAAGTGGCAAAAATTCCCTGGCAGGGAATGACTTTGTGGCAGAACCAGCACCTGGGAATGATTCTTAAAAAGGTCTTAATTGTTAATAATTTTATCTAGGTGGATATTATTAATAATTTTACCTAGGTGGATATTATTAATCACTCATAATTTTATCTAGGTGGATATCACTCTACATTGCACTGCCTTTTCCTCCCATGTAATATTTGGATGCTCAATAACCAGGTGATAAATCTGGTGTGTCAGGAGCTGGAATGATGGATCCAAAGGTTCCAAAGAATGGGATATTTTACCTTGTTTAATTTGTCCTTGGCTGGAAACGGGAGGGGGTGGTGGCTTCGCTCTGGCCAGCTCGGGGGTGCCGGGTCTGGGTGGCCTAAACACAAAATATCCATGGAGAGACAAACACAAAACACCCATGGGGAGACACATCAAAGGGTTCCTGATGGAAAACACACCCAACACACAAAATATACCCAAAACCACCCAAAAGAAGATGTTAAATCCCACCTGGTGGGCCCTTTCTTCATGTGGTCGCCGATGAAGGTGGCGTTGGTCATGCTCATCAGGGTGTTGGCCAAGGAGATGACGGAGAGCAGGTGCTGGGTGGTGACGGCGCGGGACACGCCGTAGGTGCCCTTGCCCGGTCCCTCGGCGCCGGACACCTTCCCGCCCGGCTCCCCGCCCGGCTCCCCGCCCGCTCCGCCCACGGGCCGGTTGTAGCCGGGCAGCATCAGGGACATGTGGCCTCCTCTGGACACGAGGCCGAAGGACACGGAACAGTGAGGCTTCAGCATTCCCAGGCGCTCCAGGCACAGCTCGTCCAGCCCAGAGTTGAGGCCCCAGGCGTGCAGGCAGGACATGAAGAGCTTGGCCGTGTCCATGGTCAGGTTGTACTCCAGCAGGGTGAGCGGTTTGGATTTGCTGGCGCGATATTCCGGGTCGCCGTCTTCCCTCCTCTGCCTCAGCGCGTCGTCCTCGTCGTCCTCGTCATCCAGCAGGTGCTCCTTGATGTTCTCCTTGATGGTCTCCTTGACCTGCTGGAAGAGTACGGCCGCCCGTTTGCCGGTCAGGAAGGAGCCGCCCTTGTCGGAGGCGCCGGAGGCCTTCTGGAGGTTCTCCGGGGAGACGAGGGCGGCGTTGGGCCGGGACGCCTCCTCCGTCAGCAGCTGGATGATCAGGGCCTCCACGTCGAAGAACAGCACGTGGATGTCGGGGTCTGTCAGGTTGGTCTTGATGGCCTGGACCATCAGGGAATTGTGGGAGTATTTGGGTAAATTCCCCTGGAAAAAAAACAAGGGAACAAATGGAAATTTCTACGGAGAAACCCTCAAAACACAGAAATTCAACTCAGACATTTATGGATAAATAGAAGTTCTCCAGGGAAGACACGAGTTCACATTTCTTTCTCCTGAATTCCACAAGATCAGTCACATTCCAAGGAACAACAAAAATCCAAGCTTTTGTCATTATTATTAAACCACATGAAATATTTCAGGTTTGGAGACTGAACTACAGAATCAATTTATGCTGCCGGAGAAGAAGCTCCTCAAATTCACCCAGACACCACTTGTGGGTCATTCCACTCCTTAAGTCCATCCTCTTCCTCTTTCCCTTCCTCCCAAGGGGGAAAAAAAAAGGGGAAGAGGAGATAAAAGCTGAAAAAAGTCACGAAAGGAGACTGGAAACCAGAAGGAATAGCAGCACCCAAGGCTGAGCTCATGTGTTTTTATGGAATTAGGATGGTGCTGGTGTTCCTAAGGAATGTTCTCACTAAGGGACACTTCTTTCCAAGCAGGACATAACAGCAGAAGGCAAAAAAAAAAAGGGATAAATGGGAGAAGCTGGGAGCGGAGCAGCCTCAGGGTTTAGGCTGGATATTGGGAATACTCCCTCATGGAAAGGGCAGAGGTGGAGTGCCTGAGGATCTTCCAGTTCCAACGACAGAGACTTCCAGTTACAACAACAGAGACTTCCCAGGTTTTATTCCTTTAGGGAACGGACGCTCCGGGTGCTGCCCCAGAAGCCAACTGACCTTATCGGAGGCCTCGGAAGCCAGGAGGTTGGTGGCCAAGGTCTGCAGCTTCTGGTGGGCCACGTTCTTGAGGGCGGCCAGGCTGCGGCGGGTCATGGCCTGCTTCAGGTTGACAGCGGGGTGGCTGAGGGCGTCCACGGCGGCGGGCACGGCCTCGTCACAGGCGTTCAGGATCTCCACCGCCGTGATGCCCATCACGCACCGGTCCAGGGCGCCTGCAGGGGGGGTTGGGAGAGCCTGGGTGAAACAGGAGGCCAGGCCCAGAAGAGTTAACTGGGAAATTTGGGGCCTGCTAATGATCTTGGCACATCTAAACGATCTGCGCTCGTTCTGTTCTACCTACTGGACCAAAATGTAAGAGGATGGTAAAAGAAACATATAATAGGCCTAGAGGTAATAAATTAAGATGCAGTAAGATAAAGGAGACATTTGAATAGAAGAAACAGCTCCCTCAGCCTCTCCTCATAGGACTTGTGCTCCAGTCCCTTCCCCAGCCTTGTTGCTCTTCTCTGGACCTGCTCCAGCCCCTCCAAGCCCTTCCTGAGCTGAGGGCCCAGAACTGGACACAGCACTCCAGGGGTGGCCTCACCAGTGCTGAGTCCAGGGGAAGAATCACTGCCCTGGACCTGTTGGCCACACTGTTCCTGAGCCAGGCCAGGATCCACTGGCCTTCTTGGCCACCTGAGCACACTCTGGCTCCTGTTCAGCTTCCTGTCTATCCCAACTTCCAGCTCCCTTCCTGCCTGGCTGCTCTCCAGCCCCTCTGTCCCAGCCTGGAGCTGCCGGGGGTTGTTGTGGCCCAAGTGCAGGACCCAGCACTTGGCCTGCTTGAACCTCATCCCGTTGGAATCAGCCCAACTCTCCAGCCTGTCCAGGTCACTCTGCAGAGCCCTCCTGCCCTCCAGCTCATCGACACTCCCCCCCAGCTTGGTGTCATCCAGCTCAGTGTCATCCCCCGGCTTTAACTCCGCCCTTGGAACCCTCGGCCAATCTAGATTTGCCCGGATCAAGGACGGATTCCGGGCGTGCGGGAGCTCACCGGTGTCCATCTGCCAGACGTACACGGAGCCGTCGGAGCAGCCCACCACCAGGTAGTCGTCGGCGGGTCTCCACTTGATGACCTGGATGGGGAAGAGGTGGCGGGAGGCCAACATGATGCACTTCTTCTCCCGCAGGCTCAGCAGGCCCACCGAGTGGTCGCTGGCGACGGAGCAGACGCAGTGTTGCACTCGGGCCTAAATCAAAAAAAAAATTTTAAAAAGTTATCTTAATCATAATGCAGAGATTGTTGGTATCAAAACCTTTTCCACAGTGAGCAAAATCAGACAAAAGGTGGTTTCCAAGCAATTAATGTCATTTTGCTCATGAAATTGTACTTACTCAGCCACGGTATACGAGGCAAAATTGCCTTGGAAATTTACTCTTGGCAATATTTTAAATCCTTGATATAATTAAAACATGAGGAGAACAAAGCCATAAAAACCAGAATTAAGCTGTTTTTAAAATAACATAGAAATGTATAAGAATAAGATAATATATAGTGATGTATAATGCATGTAATTGTACACAGATAACATATATTATATATATTATATATATATACGATATGTGCATATACAGGGTATATACACTACATATATGTGTATGGATACTATATGTATGAATATATATATACTGTATATACATATATAGGCTATATATACTATATATGTATACATATACTATATATGCATATATATGCTATACATACTATATATAGATACTATATATACATATATATGCTATATATACTATACATACACACTACATACTATATATAATACTATATAACTTAACACACACAATAAAACACCTGATATATTATATTTTATGTGCACACTACATTATTATTCCTATTACTATAATAATGACAACAGCATAATAATTAAGCTCTTTTTTTTATTATTTTTTTTTATTTTTAAGACCTTTAACTTCAGCCCTTCCAAGCCCCGGCTCCACCTCGAGCATTCCACCCTCCACTCCCCACTCACGCTGCAGTTGTCGGGCGGCACGAGGAGCTGGGTGATCTCGCCGCCGTGCACGCAGAAGATGTGCTTCATCTCCCCCGAGAAGATGTCCCAGACGATGACGGAGAAGTCCACCCCTCCCGAGACCAGGAAGCGCTGGTCGTAGCGGGAGGACACCTGGTGAGGGTATAGCAGGCACGTCACCTTGTTCCGGTGGCCCCGCAGCGTCCGGTGGGGCGGCCAACCTGGGGATTGGGGATGAAGATTAGTATTTTTTGACATGAAATAAAAATTGTTTTGGTATAAAGTGATATAAATGAAATCAGTTCTCTGAAGGAACAGACTCACTGCAATCCATGTTCTCAGAGAATTAATTAAAAATTAAAAATTTTTAATATTAGTTTTTTTTTTTTTTACATTAAGAGGAGGCTCAGGGGAGACCTCCTCACTCTCTACAACTCCCTGACAGAAGGGGGGAGCCGGGGGGGGTTGGTCTCTTCTCCCAGGCAACCATCAGCAAGACAAGAGGGCTCGGTCTCAAGCTGTGCCAGGGGAGGTTTAGGTTGGATATCAGGAAGAATTTCTTTGCAGAGAGGGTGCTCAGCCATTGGAATGGGCTGCCCAGGGAAGTGGTGGATTCGCCGTCCCTGGAGGTGTTTAAGGACAGACTGGATGTGGCATCAGTGCCATGGGCTGGGAACCACGGCGGGGTTGGATCAAGGGCTGGACTTGATGATGTCGGAGGTCCCTTCCAACCCAACTGATTTATGATTCCACGATTCCATGATTCCATGATTCCCGGTTTTCCCGTACCCCTGCGGAGCATGTGCTCTCCCTGGAGCAGCTGGACGATGGCGGTCTGGGTGGCGGGCACGATGACCACGCTGCCGTCCTGGCGGCCGCACACCAGGCGCCCGTGGGCCGGGATGTACACGCTGGCCGTCACCCGCAGCGGCTCGCCCAGCCCGGGCACCACGCTCAGCTGGTCGATGATGCCCGCGGGGCGAGGGCTCAGCTCGTCGAAAGCTTCCTGCAGGGAGATGGAGGTGGTGCTTGGCAGGCCTGGGAAAAAAGGAAGGGGAAAAAAAAAAAGGAAGGGGTGAGGAGGGAGGAGGATTTGAGCAGCCTGGGCTAGTACATCTGGAGGAGCTTTGAGCTCCCTTCCAACCCAAAGCATTCCATGATTCTAGGCTGGAAATTAATGTTCTGGCTAAGAGGATAAAGCTAATTAAGATTTTGAGCATTGATGTAAAAATGAAGCTGCTGTAACTCTTAAATAAACCCAATTAAGATTTTGATGGTGCGTTATCAAATGATGTTACTGCAACTCTTACAGTTCAAGCCCAACGTTCTGGATATCTGAGAGAACCAGCAGGGCTTTGTCCAGCCAAAACACACCTAAAACTGTTAAAAGGTTGTTCATCGGGTACCTCTTGCACTCTCTCGCTGTTCCAGAGCGTCGGGCACGCTCCAGATGCACAATCTCCCCGAGGAGTCTCCTTGGATCAGCAGCTTGTAGGAGAACTCTCCCTGGCCACAGAAGAAGCGAGTGACTGGAGGACATATCAGGAGCTGTTAAAAAAATAAATAAATTAATTAAAAGAAATCAATCAGCAACTTCAGGCCACATGCTCACCTCAACAGTTTTCACTGTGCCTTTTAAAAGCAGGCCAGAAACTCCTGCAGTCCATGAGGAAAAACTCCTGTTTTACCTGTTTCTCTGCCCTGTCCAACACGCTGTACAGCAAAGGTGGGATCAGGTTTTCCACGGCTTTCCCCACGTCCCTGCGGAACGAGTCGCTGGCTGGGAGGCAGCTGGGGGTGAGGAGGAGGAGAAAGGAGTCAAATTCCTGGGATTTACAGAGGGATTGCTGCATCAGCACGTGGATGTTGCTCCCGTCCTCGTGCTCTGATCACGAGGGGGTGAGGAAGGAGTTCAACATCAAACTGTCTCTTTAGCCAGAACAAAGATGTTTGCACATCATGAAGATGTCACGAGAGAAGGTTTGGATTTTCCTCTTGTCATTAACCTCTCTGATGCCCAATTTAAAATTTCTGGCACAGTTTCATATTTATGTGCCTATTTTCAGTTTTTTGCACTGGCCCAAGATTTCAGTGTTTTTCCCCTCCAGATGAAATAAATGGGAGTATTTAATTTTTGCCTACCTGGCTGGTAATTTATAGATGAAACTTTGTCCATCCTCTGTCCACACAATCACTTTGTCAGCTGCCACAAAGTCCCCACCAGTCCAGGTCTGACTGTTTTCACTGGGAACTGAACATAAGAGGGAATAATCCCCAGCATCAAAAACCTGGGAAGAAACAACAAAAGGGGTGTCAGGAATCTATTAGAGAACAAATTTTGGGTTTAATATTCCAGAATGATGGAATAGTTTGGGTTAGAAGGGATCTTAAAGATCCTCCAGCTCCGATCCCGTGGGTGGAGATTTAGATTAAATATCTAAATATGCATTAAATATGTAAATAGAACCACACTGAAAGGACTTGGAGCATCTTGCTCTGAATGTTTCAGGGTAATTTAATTAAATTAGGCCCCAGGGGTTGCTGCCTTACTCTCCAGTACTTGGAGCACACGACCAGAAGCGAGCGCTGGGTGAAGGCGCAGAAGGAAATGCTCTGACAGTTCTGGCAGTAGATGGGCTTGGATTCCTCCTCAAACACGGGCGTGGTATCCTAAAACCAACCAAAACCAACACCAAAATCATTCTTTTCCTGCTCAAATCGAACTCAGACCCCACGGAATAGAGACTCTGGCATTCCCTGAGGCGCCCCACAGCTGATTTCCGAGGGAAACCCGAACGCTCGGAGCAGTTCTGATTCCATTATTCCTCCTAAGGAGATCTGCAGGAGGCACGTGGTCTCCTCTTTGGTCACTTAAGTCTCCCAGATTCCCCAGCAGGATGGATTAGTGGTGCTGATTTAGTCAGGGAATCACCTTGCAGCCAGGTAGGAAAGTGGGATAAAGCAGATTCCACTCCCGTGGAATAAACTTAAAAAAATAAGTTTATTTTTCCCTAAGTTGCTAAACATCTTTTCCAAGGGGTTTCTGGGAGGAGTTAATTTACCAGAGGTCTGAAACGTGCAGTAAATCTCAGACTTTTATTCATTAGGACACAGGGAGTTGGAGATAATCCCAAAAAAGGAATATTCCTAAAAAACTGGATCCTCTGCTCAGCAAACATTAACCCAAATCAGAACAAATAAAAAGCAGATTTGGAAAAACTGGAGATTCTCCTCCTCTAAATTTTGCAATCAGTTCTCTGGGAAGGATGAGGAGTTCCGCTGAGAATTTGGGATTCTGGGAAGGATTAGGAGTCCTGCTGGGAACTCGGGATCGCTAAAGCAAAATTCCCAAAGGTGATTTTCCAGCTGGCAAAGAGGAAGAAGAATATCTTCAGGGGGTTGAAAGGACCAGAAACAACAGGAATACAATTCAACACCCCTCCAGGAAATCCCACTAATCCAGCAGTTTACCTGGAGCCGACTGACTTCCGAGGTGATGATCCAGACTTTCAGGATGCCGGTCACGGAAACGGCCACCACGGTGTCCTCTGGGAAACACAGAAACCAGGATGAGATCCCAAGGAATTCTCCACTGAGTGCACAAATACACCCAGGAGAAACTAAAACTTCAGGCCACAAACACCCCTGGGAGCCACCAAGGCCAGGAGTGAGAAATAATCACCTTGTGTCCTGTTGGATCGGATGATGCTCATGGAGCTGATCCAGTCAGGAGAGATCTTGGATATCAGGGAATAAAGAACTTCCAGGCTGGTGGCATCCACCACCAGAATTTCGGGATAATGCCCGTGGCATAGGAGCCTCCCTTCCCTCTGCGAGCCGACTGTGAACTGATAGAACTGCCAAGACACAGAAATTATACCCCGGGTGGGACAGGAATTCCTTCATTTTTAATCCAAACCAAAATGTTTGGGATGCCCAGAGCTCTGGAATCCTTCCAGGACTGACCTGAATTCCCGTGTGTGCGCAGGCCAGTTTGGTGAACTCGATGCATCTCCCATCGTTCACATCCCACAGGCACATCTCCCTAAAAACACCAAAAAAAATCTCCCTAAAACTCCAGGGAAACCAGGCCAGGCTTCCAAACATTTCAAAATCCCTCTACACTGGGAGGAACTTCATTGGAACCATTCCTTGCATATGAACTGCATAAGAAATCCTTCCCTCCTCTACCTTCTGATTAGCAAATAAAACCACTGAAAAAATAAAATGTATTTGCTGATAAATTTTTTTTTAGGGATCAAAAAAAATCCAACACAGCCCCAGCGTGGAAATACGGATAATTTGGGGACAGATTTCCATGATTTGACAGTTGTGGAGATCAAAACTGCTGGGAAACTCACCCACTCTCGGATGCACTCACTATATATTGTTTTTCACTGGAAGCTGAGGCCTTGGATAAACAAGTAACTGAGGCCGTGTGACCAAACAGCAGAGCTCGGGGATTAATCTGGGAGCAGGGAAAGAAAAGGGGAAGTCAAAATACCACTCTGAAAAACAGAAGACACATATGCCAGCTTTCTATTTTATATATTATATATCTATTAATATACACATATTTAATTAGCATAGCTGTGGATATATAACCTTGAAAAAGAGTTTCTACTTAACACTGGAAAAAAAGGCAATTTGCAAACTCATGTCAACAAAATCTATAAAGTTGGTTCAGTTTGAATGAAAAAATTGACAGGGGGAAACTATTGTTGCACAAGACAAGTTCTGGATATTTATAAATAAGGGGAGACCTCCAGGAGAGCTGGAGAGGGACTTGGGACAAGGGATGGAGGGACAGGACAAGGGGAATGGCTTGGGAAGGCAGGGATAGATGGGATACGGGGAAAGAACGGCGATTCCCGAGGGGATTCTTACCTGCAGGTCCGGGCTGAGGTCCCAGAGGCAGATCTGGCCGTCGTGGCAGCCGGTGACGATGACGGTGGCGCCGTCCATGAGCAGCAGGGAGGACACGCAGTGCGTGGGGGCGCGGCGGCCCCACAGCACGATGGGCAGCACCAGGCTGTTCCCGGCCATCCCGCCCGCCGGCCTGCAACACAGTGGCACCGGGAACGTGGCACCGGGCACCGGGAAACCCTCCAGAGCCAGCGTCGGGAATGCCGGATATGACAGCGACGGCATCTCCATGAGGGACCCCTCAGATAGCCCTCAGGGAGGGCCTTCACCTGCCTTCAGGGACCACATTCACCTTCCCTCAGGGAGGGCCTTCCCCTGCCCTCAGGAAGGGCCTTCACCTTCCCTCAGGGACCACATTCACCTTCCCTCAGGGACCACATTCACCTTCCCTCAGGGACCACATTCACCTTCCCTCAGGGACCACATTCACCTTCCCTCAGGGAGGGCCTTCCCCTGCCCTCAGGGAGGGCCTTCCCCTGCCCTCAGGGACCGAACTGCGTTCCTTAAACTGTCCAGGAAAAACATATCCCCTCACACGTTTGGTAAAATTCCACAGGTTTTTTATCCATCTAGGCCCCAAACAGCACATCCCTGGGCATGTGGAGAGTTTGGCCAAAATCGCTCTTTTCGGAGTGATTTTGAACTAACAAATGTTTGAAGCCCCGGTTATTATATCTGTGATGTTACTAGATCCCTGATATCAATACATCCCTGATATCAATACATCCCTGATATTATTATATTCCTGCTATCATTCTACCCCTGCTATTCCATATCTGATATTACTGACAGCATTAAACACCTGATTGTACAGATATGCCCGTCGGAATACAGAATATCCCGGTGAAACCAGCTGTGTGAGATCCACTGATAAAGCGGATTTTGGCCGTTACCCAGCAGGAAACAGGTCCAGCCCTATCTTTATGGCAACATTTGGGATATCTTATAAAGATATTGACACAAACAACACAGGGAAATTGGAGCTGCCACGAGGCCAAAATTGTCTCGGTGGCCGGGAAGTGGAAAGAAAACAGAAATTCAAGTTGTGGCAATAAAATCCAGTTGCATTAGCATGAGATTTAAATCCCAAAACAAGCCTCTGTTGTCGGTAGCAACACTCCCAGCTCCAAGTTTTCAGAACTGACATTTTCTTATCGGCCACGAGGTTGTGTTAAATAAATAACTAAGCACTCCTGTTATGCTCTGAATGTCCCAGCTCACACCTCTGATTTAGAGGAGCACAAAGCAGGATTCACTGAAGAAATATTTTAAAATATTTTACAAACACAGCTCCCTGGAGCCTCCCACTTCACTCCACAAAATCCACATCATCCAATCACTAAGATCACAAAAAATGCCACTTCAGAACAAGGCAACTCATTCCTCGGACTCTGTTAATTAAAAATTATTTCATTGAGAGCTTGAATTTAATCAAATTAGAAATAAAAGACCTAAAAATCCAAGTATGGAATCTTTTGGAAGCTGCTCCACTGCAAGCCCCATCACCTGCCCGTGCAGTGTTAATTTGTTATGCAACGCTGGATCGATTGTTCTGTCTGGACAACCATGAATATAAATCACAAACAGAAAATCACAAATAGAAACTAATTAAAAATTTTAACCAATACAGAAAGAGCCACCATTAAAAACCCTCCTTGATTTACAGCAAAATCATCATAAAAACGGAATAAAACCAGCAATAAGGTGTCCAGATGCAACAGAACAACAAAACCACCCAAAGCAACCAAAAATACCCATTTCACTCTTTTACCACCCGATTTTGGGGAGGAAATGAACCATAAATGACTAAAACTGAGCTGAAAAATGCCAATAAACAACATAAAAGTCTCTTCCAACCCCTGATATTTCAAACCAAGGCTCTGGGGGGAGAGAGAGGGAAAAGCAGAACTACCTCTTTCCTTCTCCTTTTCTCCTGTGGTGCCTCAAGGCCTTCAGGAAAAGCTTTCTTTTGAGGAAAAACCACATCTTAATTCCCAAAGAATTCCAACTGCAGAGCTCGGCCCCTGGCAAACGGTGACTGCGGCCCCAGAGAGCACCAAAACTCCCCTTTTGTCCCAGACAGATCAATAATTTCCTTTTTTCACAGGAGCAAATCGACGCTGTCCTGCTGCCAGATGGGCCAAAAAAGCAGCCAGGGGGTTATTCCACATGAATTCCCACATCCCAGCTATTTATAACTTCGGGAAGCCACGGATTCCGGCAGAAAAGGGAACTTCAGTGGGAAAAATGGAGTTGCCACTAGCAAAGTGCTTCCTGTTAATACTTCTTCAGATTAGCAAATGAACCAAAAAAAATTAAAAATAACATCTTCATCTGATAGAATAATCGGGTGACTCTCTGAACTGCTCTGTTTAAGGCTGGGATTTAGGCAGATTTAACAGGCTGGGATCAGTTCCTTATTTGAGTGAAGGCATTAAACTGATTTTTTGAAGTGCAAGATATTAAATACTGAAGCCAAGACTCACCTAAACACCTTTATCAAGCCAAGCTGCTCTTCCCAAACACTTTTATTGCCATTAAATGAGGAATTAACATTAGGATACTTGTGGACATTAAAATAACCTGCCCAAAAATACTGCAAAATAGCATTAAATAGCACAAACCAGCTATTAATGGGCTGCTTATGCATTTTATAAAAACTCGATTATTCTAAATTTAATTACAAATTACACTTTCTATTTATCACTCGGGCACAGAGAAAAAGGACTAATTGGGGGAAGACAATTAAAACACTTCCCTGGATACGCAGGAGGTTCCACAGCAAGGCAGAGGACGAGATAATAATAATAATAATCTGAGACTCCAAACTGCAGTTAATTGACCCCTCGGAAGCCCCATCCATTAAGAACCCGGGGCTTGTTTTGGGGTGAAACTTGCTGAAATCTGGACTCCAATCCTGGGCACCTGGAGAACTGCACCCCTGGATAACTGGGCACCTGGATACCTGTGTCCCTGGATACCTGGGGCCATGGGCACCTGGACAGCTGGATACCCGTGTCTCCCTGTCCCCGGGCTCCCGCGCACGCCGTTCCCGTTATCCCCGCGTCCCGGTACCGCAGAGCCGCCGGCGGCCCCCGCAGCACCCGCGCCGGGGCCTCGCCCGGCCGCTCCCGCTGTGCCCACCCCGTTCTCCCGGCCCCGCTCCATGCCCCGTTATCCCGCTCTCACCGGCTCTCCCGGTCCCTCGTCCCGCTGTCCCGTCCCGGAGCCGCGGCCCGGGAGCGGCCCCGGCCGGGTGACACCGCCGGCTCTTACGGCACTGCCGCAGAGCGCGGCCGCCGCGCCTCACGGCAGCCGGGTCACCATGGCAACCGCCTGACCGCCCTCAGCGCGCCCGGGGAGCGGGGAATTACTCACTTGATGTGTTAAATAACGATTGCCTTGAAGTTATAACAGCCGGGAGCAGAGTCTGTCGTTCTGAGCAGGGAAAGCGCCGTTATGAGGCACCCCGCAGTGACATTTACGTGTTATTAGGTAAATAATAATGTTATTATGCCTGTATTAAAAAAAAAGCAGAAGCGTCACCCCGTAACGCCCAAAAAAAAAAAAAAAAAAAAGTAGTGAATAACAAATTACGAAAAATTTTATGTAGGCAGAACTTCCCTCTTATAGCTCCCCGCTCGTGCCCTAAATTGACCGGCGCGCCCCTCAGCTGCCTGTAACCAAAATGGCCGAAGCAGCGTCGCTCCCGCCCCTCAGCGCCCCTACCCAACATGGCGGCCGGCGGATAACCTGCCCCTCTCTGCCCTGCCCTAAGATGGCGGCACTGCCCCTACCCAAAATGGCGCCGGTGGCGTCATTCGTCACTCTCTGCCCTGCCCTAAGATAGCGGCACCGCCCCTTCTAAAATGGCGCCGGCGGAGTCACCCGCCCCTCTCTCAGCAGGATGTCGAGTGCCACCGTGTCCCCGAGGTCCCCCTTTCTCCTGTCGGGATAGAAAGGATCCGGAGGCGTCTGCAGGCACGAGGGACTCGTCCAACTGGGATTTGCCTCCAGCCCATGGTAAGATGGATTTTCAGGGTCCAACGGGTCACGGGCCAGCTCTCCTGCTGGAGTTTTTGGGTGCTGGATTTGAACCCAAAGAACAACCCTAAAGTCAGGTCTGTTCTGGAGTGTGTTCCACCTGTGCAAAGCTCCTTCCCTCTGTTTCTTTTCTGTTCTGGAAAGCACAGTCTGGGGGTCCCGGGCACTTCCTATGAAATGCTGCCACGGAAATCATTTTGTACTGAGAGGGGAAAGGAGCTGTCTGTGGGAGGTCAGATGTCCACGATAAAAGCTCGATGTTTTTTCAGTCAGTGAGCTCTTAAAATCTCTTAGTGTGTGGGAATGCCTGGCTTCTAAAACTCACCAGCTGAGTCTGAGAGGTTTCTTTGCAGAGCTGTTTTCAGGCAGCAGAATTGGCCCCCGGGAGGGACTCTGTGCCTGCTCTCCCGTGGCTCCAAGGGATCTCTGGGCCTTCACACCGGCACCGAGATTTCCTTGGGAAGGGCCTCAGATCCCCGGACCGGTGTGGGACACAGGCAAGATCCCCCTTGCCTTTAGAAATGAGGCCTTCTTGTGGCTTCCTCCCCATCCCCGTTGGGTGGGGTATTATTTGATGTTTGGGATCTTAATCTGGGAGTCCAGATTTGGAGGTTTCTTTGGCCTTGGGATCAGGTCTTTGGTTTCCTTTGTGTTCTGGGTCCTTGAGGTTCCAAAGAAGGACTCTTGCAATCCCTTTTTGGCTGTCCATTGAAGCCTTGGGACCAAATTGGGCCCCCTGGAGGGACAGTGCTGTTGGTGCCCCCCAGGCTGGGGCACCCCGAGGACTCCACACCAAAAGGATTATTCGGGGAGATCCTCTGGGTGCCCAGCCCTGGGGAGTTCAAAGCAAGGTCCCTACAGTGGATTCAGGCATTGCTGAGAGTATCCCAGGGGTACCTGTCCCTGCTAGACATGGAGCTCTCTAATGGGCTGGAATTGGGTTCTAAAAGTGGTGCTCCAAGTGCCAAAGAAGTGTGGGATAGGGATTAAGAAATGAGCAGTGAGGGTCCAATTGGCTGTTTTCTCTGGAATGTAATTGTGAGAGCTGCAGGAGTGCCAGGTGTGTGTTCCAGTCCCCAGCATTTGGTTTGCACATGTCCTGGTCAGACACAGGTCCAACAAGGGCAGGTGATGGTCCCAGCTACAGTTATGGGAAAAATAGTTCAAAGAGAGCCACAAAAGCTGGAAATCATCCTGGAGGCTCTTGGCAAACCAAGTTTCCTGAGTTACTCCTGGAAGAAGGATAGTGAGAAACTTTCTAGTGCTGGCAGATCCTTTGGATAGATAGCCTTGAGTGTGTCCTCGTTGCACTCTGGGAGCTGATTGCCAGGGCACCCAGCGGGCTGGGATGATTCCAGAGCAGCTGCAGTTGTTCCTGTCGTGTGGGCCAGTGGAATTCCAGGAAAATGGACAAGGGCAGAACCTGTAAGAATTCCCCCTAAGGGCAGAGTCTCTACTGAGCTGCGGCTGGGGCGCGGGGGGCGCGGGGGGTCCTTTGCGGGCCGGCGGTGTCGGGGCTGCAGTACCGGCCGTGTCCGCCAGGCGGAGA